AGCACGCAAGCGAGCACACGTGAGCTGGAGCGAGCCATGTCGTAAGCCCTGGAACAAAGAGAGCTGCACAGGAGCGGCCTTCAAAGAGCTCAAGTTCAAGCCAAAAGCATTGCGGGGAGAGATCTGTTCCCTCAAACACTCTATTTCTTCCCCAATTTGCTTGCTTCTCTGCTCCGTCAGGGAAAACAAATCGCATCCCTCAAATGGCTGGAGCGGATGGATGCTCTTTAAGAATCAAAGAACCAATGATGGTCACGGGAAATCGCTTTTGTAGGTTTTGGCCAACTACGCGAAATGCAAGACCGCTCTTCACCAAATTTGTCATAGCATGTTTTGGCTGTTGCTCATATGTTCAATCCTGCCACACTCAAATTGGAATTAGATATTTGCAGTCAGTTCTCACATCCTGAACTTGAGCAGCACTCTTGTTTTGCAGCAATTGTCTTAAATTCAGCACTCAAGCTCGGCCAGAGAAATTCAGTGATGGATAATGTGGTGGCCGTGGCCAAACCATCTTACAAAGGCTTGAGGACTTTGTTGTACGGACCGTGAAATGATACGTGTCTGCCAAGCCTGAATCCATGCATGAATCTCTGCAACCTTCAGGAGCCTCGGCCTCAGCGCCACAAATCAACAGGTGACAACTCAAACAAAAGGAAGCCACCACAAAAACACATGCGATCAAGACACAAAAGTTGCGGCCTTCCTATCTTGACTAAGTTGATGAAGTAACCACCGCAACAAAGCAACAGAGTGATCAAACTCACAACAAGCAAAACAACTTGTGAGCACAAGGCCTGAAAAACTGGCCAAATGCATTCGTGGAGAATCCAGCGAAGGACGAAGCTGGAAAAACAGGTAAATGTTTAACTTCTCAAAAAAAGACTTGACACAAAAAAGCACATTTCCCGCCAACATGTTCCCCAAGAAAAGCGACTGACTTGACATTCCAAAGAACTTGTACCTCCCGTACATCCAATGAACCTCCCAAAGAAGCAGGAACCAGGTCGACCCTTTTCTGAAGCCCAAACATCGCCCGCTTTCCGACTGCAAGCACTAAAAGCGTCCTCAGGAGATCCCAAAGCTTGGAACATGGCCAAAGCTGGTTAGACCCTAGGGCTCCAACCACCTTCTGAGATGGTTGGGGTGGGTGCCAGGGGGTCTGTGCCCACCAGTCACCTGAGGAGATGGGACAGGAGCCCATCCCGGAGATGCCGAAAAAGTCCATGGTCCTTTTTAGGGGCAGCTTCCATCTGCTACCGCCCTCCTAGACACCTGAAAACCACGTCTTCCACGGGCGCCTGAGGCGTCCGCACCGGAACGAAGTCGTCAGTCCGGCTCCGCACGGCGACCGGACCGGACCGTTTGGTTCGGGGGGGTCGACTGGTTGGTTCACTCCTCTGGCGAACGACCGGACTGGACCGGACTGGGCTCCACCGGACCGGCCTTGAGGAGATGCTGGGGTGACCGTCAGAAGGCCGTCGAGATCAGGACGTGCTTCACCTTGAGATGGGTCAGCCACGGAGGGCCCCTGGAGCAGGTGTTTTTGCTTGCCACGGGCTCCTCCAATGGGCATGGTTTTTGGATGGAGGGATTTCTACCTGAAGAGGGAGACATTAGATAGTTTTGCAGCTTTCCAGTTGCATGTCGAGACGTCAACGACTCTTGTATCTCCTCTTCTCTCATGACGGAAGATTGCAGTCTTCCAATCTGAGTCCACTGGGTAGTAAGTCAATCTTTCCCAACGAAACGCGTCAACAAAGATGACAATCACTTACACTGATGGATCGGGCAACCACCACACCTTCTTCATCTTCGTCCAAATGGATCATGGTGGCTGTTCCAGACAAGCTCAAGCCGGGATCTCCCTCCTTCGCCCCAATGGCTTGCTTCTTTCAAAAAAGCAAATCAGTCACACTCATTGCAATTTACTAGATATTTGGAGACCTCTGTGGGAGTCTATAACTCTATCTGAAACCCTCCATCAACTATCCCCTCTGACTCCTTCACCATGAGCATCTGCTGCTTGAAGGACAAGAAATCGCTGAGAGATATGAGCAGGTCCAGCACTGCACAATCCTCAATGAAATCTACGAATTCAAAGCAACACCTTGCAAAACCACAAGGTGTGAAATAACATGGAAATGGCAAGCAACAGTAACAACAAATACATTCAACTACTATACCTATATTTTCCGCTTCAGAACCTTCACGTCAAAACTAGTGACCTGGATGTGTGCTATGGCCATAACCATCGTTGATGGTGTGGGCCCCTTTTGGTCATGAATGGGATTGCCCACCTGACCAGCTCCCGCTGGTCGGGATCCACCAAAAGAACATCTCACCCCAAACTTATGGCTGTTCTGTGAGGCGTAGTCGTGTGACAATACAATACTCCTTGGAACTGATCATTTGAGCGATGAGCTAAGTCATATCGATGCACAGGAAATGAGCACGGTACAGAAATATAGAAAGGGTCAAGTGAGAGTCAAGTGTGGGGCATCTGTAGCAGGTAATTACTAACAACTTATCCATGCTATGCCTGCAGGCATGTCAGGGTAGCTTCGCAGCCTTTCAAAACTCAGACTCAAGGGTGCAAATCCATCATGTCTGCACCGCTTGGCGACCCATCCAATCCGCTTGGCGCCAGACGATCTCATCTTCACCTGAGAGAACACAAACAACATGATGAACATGAACATATTATCCGGATAGAGAACAAAGAAACGACATTCTGCGCAAACGACATGGACGGACAAAAAAAAAGAACAAACACAAAATAATAGAGAAACAAGGAAGACGGTGCATGGAGAATCGTGTGGTGCTGGAGCCGTGCAGTGGACAGTGGCGCGGTTTCAAAGGAACACCCGGATGTACCGTGTCAAACGCCACAGGGCTCCGTTTGCGCAACAGGTTTTATGCATATTCAAAGCATCTTCAAGACCAGCTGAACAAGCTGAACAAATCTGAATTCGATTGGATTCTGAAAAGAGCCGCAAAGTTGCAGACTTCTACACTGAGACTACTAAGACTAATGTTTAAAAAGAACAGAACTTCTGAGCTGTCACACATACCCACCCTCTTCGAAACCTTTCAAAAAAGGTATGAATTATTCACGAGAGTGGCCATATTCTGTGGAGGGCCAATCATAAGAAGTCATAAGGACATATAATAAGAACAATAATAAGAACAAACACGCACGTGTCCAATCCCGGTAATAAGTAAGCATTATCTGTATCAAAGGTTGCTACCAAACATGAAACCAGTTTACACTAGTTTAAACATATTCAACAAAGAAGCCTGGTCACACCTGGGTCTGAGAAGAGTCTTACTTCCACCCAGTTCCGATCCTTTGGCTTCCTTTGATCTCCTCTCCTTCAGTTCAAACGCTCCTCTTTCGGGGGACCCGCCTGGCCCGGGATTCTTCTTGATGGTTCGTGTATTTGGCCCCGCTTCATGAGTTGGAACTCTTGGCACAGTTGGAACCCTATGGTAGATAGACCCTGGTCCAGAAACCATGTGTGATGCTGAGTCTTACCAAACAAGAAGAGAAGAACATGTTGCACGTCGTGTAGAACCAAAATCATCGACATGGTTAGGGATTGTGACATCGTGCAAACAACTAGAGCAAGCGCCCCCCCAAACCAACGTTAGAATGATGAAACATGGGAACCCTTTTCATCCTGAGCGATGCTATCTATATATTCTTGACCAACCTGTTACCATAGCTCTTAGATTCTACAAGATGGGATGTACCTGACAAGCTTAGCTGCTTAGCTGTTAGCTTGACGAACCAGTGTTTTTGACCAAGATTCAAATGGGGTGTACCTGCATGGACGACCCCTCACCCCATCCTCTCACCGCTGGTCACCGCTCCCGCTCACCGGTGCCTCGTTGGGCC